ATGTGTAAGAGGAACGAGGAAGAAGGAAGAGGAGTAGCAGGAGAGAAGAGGGTAGGGGAGGGGGCTGAGATACAGGAAGAGGGGGGGGATAGGTGTATGACATGGATTATTTGGTGTGGCGGAGGCTTTCGCTTCGTGTTTTCAGATAGGAGGCGAATCTAACTACTTCCCGTCGGGGTGTATGTATGGGCTGATGGTCGATGCGCTGGCCGTGGTTCAGCCGTTTGGTAAGGACACTGCCATGTGCTCCATCAGGCCCCATGCGTTATTCGGATCTTCCACCCCACCTCGGCGGAATCGGGAAAACCAAGGGAGTCGCCCCGGATTGCCGTTAGTAGTGCGTGCGAGCCGTTCGTTTCAGGTACGTATAGTCGGCCATTCCAGAAGGTCCGGAGCTGCGCTTCGATTCTCTTTTCCGAATCGATTGCTCTTGAGTGAGAATACAGCTCGGTTCGCGGGCGGAAATACGCCTTTGCCGAACGTTGTCTGTCGATGTAAGTCTTCGGGCCATCAGTATACTATCGGGGCGTTACCTTAGTCGCACGTGTTCGCGGAGTTGGGATGGAGCCACTGTCCGACGAACTCAGAGGTGTCAGTTGCGTCGGGTACCGGCTCATTTCGGCGGATTCATTCGCCCGACCTGAGCCTCCAGAACGTCCGGTTCATAGCTCACTTCATCTGGCCAGCGATGGCCTAGATTTCCAGCAATCCTCTATCGTCGGTAATGCTGCTCAAGAGGAAACGACAGGCGTTGAAGTCCAGGTCGATTTATCGTGTGATTGTGCGACTGCGCGGCGCCTTGGGCTCGGAATGGTTAGCCGGGTCTTCTTCCGCACGAAATACGTAATGACTTGTGTGATCTGGACCATGGATCCGAACAGAGCCCGCGCGGATTCCGGCGTCGAATTAGTTCGCCACCTCGTGATTCGAAGCTCGCGTGCTCGTAGAAGGCAATCGGCGTCCCTTGTATGTCGTGGGAGTCGACGGGCCATGCAGGGAAGGCTGCGTTGTCTTGCCAATTGGACAGAGGAATTTCAGCAGCGCATCGGGGCTTTCGTGCGGCCGCCTGATGCCATGGTCTGACATACTTTTGTGTAAAACAGGCGCCGGCGCGTGGGCTTCGTGTCGACGATTTTGTGCCCGTACGTTGTACATGGTCCTTTTGAAGGTCCTTCGATGTTCCGGTCGTCAACCTCTTGGTTAATGCCCGAGGGGTTGTGTGCTTCCAGGTCTCATTTCGCGCAGCTATTCCGGTTCCACACTGTTTTGTTCACTGAGGTGGGCCGACTCGACTGAACGTTGAATCCGTATCGTGCGGTTTCCGCTCGTAACCTGGGACGTGGCTTTTTTGAAATGGTCATTGCGCCTCGTCGATGTCATTCTTTCTGATACTGTGGATGTTTTCCGAACTGGACTCGTTTTGGTCTTCCCCTCGACCGACCGGCTGCCTAAAACATCTTTTTCTGCTCGCCATCGACCGTCACGATGAAGTCAAACTGTGGCATGATTCATTGGCCCTTCGACCCCGTACGTAGCCTTCCTTTGCATACCGTAGAAGGGTTATTGACGCCGTCCTATAGATAAACTGTATTCTGTCGCCCCCACTTCTGTTAGGTCCGGTGAAACTATGGTTGTCACCGCAATGACGCCTCGGCGTTCCAGTAGCGGCTAATTTTTTATTCTTAAGGTCCTTTGCACGTGCTCCCTCTGGTGATCGGCGCGATCGTGCTTTGATCTGACTAGGTACGGACCGTGCCCGGTTCGGCTGCGTCGAGTCATTCGCCGATCGACAAGATCGTGTATATTGCTGCAAACGCGGCTCCGAGAGGTATTCCTAACTCGTAGAAGGATCGGGTTGTTAATAGTGAGCGCTGATTTGGCTTTGTTTGCGATGTTGTCGAACCGATAGTCGCCCCGCCTATTCATTGCGCCGGGATGGATGGTAGGAGTTTCGCTGCAACTATTTTCCACTTGATGCCGTGACGATCCCATCTAACAGGTCCGCAGGACGTGGCACGTTGCCGTATTCTGCTTGCGATTCAGACGGGCAGGATCGTATCGTTTTCGTAGTCGTCCCTGGTTCTTTTGTTCCGGTTGCGCTCGCGGTCGTCGTCGAGTGCTGGTCGATCAATGTCGATCGGAACGCCGTGGTCAATGTCGTTCTCCGTGACCAGGTTGGCGTGCGCATAATCTCTTCTTGTGGATATTATTTTTGCCTCTTGGTGGGCCATTGTCCGCCTAGGTCCGAGCTTTGCGTACTACCGACATTTTCTCCCAAATCCCGTGCCTTTAATTTATCCGCACTTGGGGTCTTGTAGGGTTTGTGTTGAACCGTTGTCTTTCAGCTTTGCGGAGTCGGCGCCCCTGGGGTTGTAGCTGTTTTCTGCTTGGTTATTGGCATGTGGGCACCTAGTATTGTATCAACTTCAACTACCTTGGTATTTTATGTCTTTTTAGTCCTGTCCATTGTCGATTGCCGGCTTCGTCTGAGGGGCCGGTAAGGGACGTGCTGAGGCCTGAGGATTCAGCCGCCTCGTCCGTTTTTGAGAAAGCATCCCTTCTTCATTGTAGCGTCTGTCCGGCTCTGGCCTGGTCTCAAATGGTTGTGCGTCTTATCTTCGTTTAAAACAGCTGGCTGCTTCGGTGCGCCTGGTGGGCAAGCCCATTCATTGTTTATCAGCGAGTGTAGTTAAATGGGTCCCTACGTCACTGTCTGAATTAAGGAGTTGAGGGGGACCCCCTGCGGTACCGTCCGCGATTCCCCACGCCAGTCCGGTGTTCGGCTGCCATTGGGTCTATCCTTCGCCTTCTCGTGGTTGCCGGGCATGATGCGCACCCTGAGACGATCTTCCGGGCGCCCATACGTGTCTGCGCACGTTGAGAGGGGTGAATTCAGACTCGACCGACACTGATCAATGCAGCGGTTCGGGTAGCCTGGTTTGTATGTAGACAGACCAGGGGCAAGAGCAACAGACAAGGTCGCCGCGCCGCGCAAACCGACCAATAGCGTGGCAGTGTCGTAGATTGACGATCGAAGGTTCGAAGTCGGCGAGGCCACAGCGGAACGCGCCGAATGGTCCGGAAGCGACGCGCAAGATCAAGGGGGTATGATCGGGTATTCCGGGGCGATCTGCTCCACGTCCGCCAGGCCGGCGCTCACAGACCTACGATCGCGTCTGAGGGCTGGCTCCACAGAGGACTCGCTTTGCGCATAGTCGCGCGCGAGATCGCGGTCCGGACAGTCGGGTACCCACCACCCGCCGTCCGGTTGGCCGCGGCCGAATCGCTCCTCAGCGCGACACATGGTCAGAGCTGATTCCGGGACCAGATCAGGTCGCAGCGGGCGAGGGAGATGCGGCGCAGGCGCGGCGGCGAGTAGGAGGCGGCCAGCTCGGTGGGGCCTGCACCGCCGTTTCCCAGCGCCTCGCGTCGCTGCGTTTGCGCGGGGAGGAGAGGAGGTGCTGGCGCAGCACGTGCGGCCCACGGTGGACCGCGCGAAGAACAGCAGGCGTCCGTCGGCCGTTTCGGCGACGCTTGGCTCGTCGCAGGCGCTGATGCCGCCGTAGCCGTTGGCGATCCCGTGCTCGTCGAACCACCCCATCAGCGGCCCGCCGCGCTGCCACGTCCGGCCCTCGTCCCGCGACCGGCTCACCGCGGCGACGTCGATCTCCGGATAGTGGTAGTGGCCGGAGACCTGCAACGGGAGCCCCTTCCACGTGCCCCAGGTACTGACCTTGCGGTACTCCAGGCCCGGGTGGTCGTCGTTGCTCGTAGCGATCTGCGGCTGCGGCGCAACCAGCGTGACCGTCGCCGGTCTCGATGAGCGCGTCTTCGTCGAGTAGCGGCCGAGCCCAGCAGGTCGACGGTGGAACGCTGCCGCCACGTACGGCCGTCGTCCTCCGACACCACCAGCCGGAAACACTCCTGCCGGTCGCGGTTCGTTGTACTCTGAGCGCGACCGCGGTCCTGCCGCAGCCTGTGATGCACCGCACCTCTGACGCCCCTCGCAGCCGGCGCGTCCGGCAACTCCAGCGCCAACGGCTCTCCCCACGTGGGCGGACCCGGCGTCGGCGGCGGGCACTGCGCAGGAGCCGGCCGCCGGCTATCAGCCGCCCCACGTGAGCGCGGCACACATGTCGCTTCACGGACAGCAGACGCGCATCTCGCCCATCACGACGCGCGACATGCACCGGTCACACTCGGTACACGCCCGTCCCAGACGGCATCACCGTTTGCGAATACATGCGCGGCCGCCTGACGCATCCGCCTCGGATCCTGAGTCGGATGTACCTCGTATTGCGATACCTCCGCTCTGCCCGGCGGTCAAGTCGGATTGCACCGTCAGGCGGCAGACGAAAGGACATCAGCACAATCCGCCGCGCAAGTGGTCAGGGGCGGCCGTCGTGTCGCGTTACACACGCAGCCTCCTCTGCGGCGAGTCAGGGGATCGGGGCCGCTGGGAGTCTATCACCGGAGCGATCCCCGACGCTCCCGCAGAGGCAGCTTGAACAGCGCGCCCGGCTGAGCGACAATGCCGCAAGCCGGCACCGGCAGGCGGACACGCCCCGATGGTCAACTTCATCATCCGCAGACTCGCCACGCGTAATACAGTCCACCTGATCATGATCTCGATGCTGGTGTTCGGGGCGATCGAGCTCGTCCCGGGCACCTTCGTCGACATCCTGATCGCGCAATACAGCATACGCGCGGACCACCGGTCAGGCGGGAGCGCAGATGCGCGAGGGCCAGACCCTCCGTCTGCTGCGAGACCGGCCAGTACGCGCTCGGCAAGACAGGTCCGCCCGATCTAAGCGTGCGCATGGTGGACCGTGGTTCAGCCCGTTTCGTGCCCGAGCTCCGGCCGTTTCTATGACACGGATACACGGCCTAGCCGCCACAAGGCAGATCCGCGCGCGAGTGGTCATCTCGGCTGCTGCGACTGAACGCCTGATGCTCACCGTCAGACTCGCGTCTACCCTGCTCTGCAGCAAACTCGTGTCATGCCATACGTGGTGGCGCTGCCGATAGGGATCTACTCCGCGGTCCGCCAGTACCAGTACACGTTCGGCGATCATTTCTTCACGGTGATCAGCTTCCTCGGTCTGAGCATTCCCAATTTCCTGCTCGCCCTGGTGCTGATCGTGATCGGCTTCTTCGTGTTCGATCAGGTGCCGGGCGGGTTGTTCTCGTCCGAGTACGCCGCCGCTCCCTGGAGCCTGGGCAAGGTGCTCGACCTGCTGGCGCACTATTCGGGGTGCCTAGGTCGGTGCTGTGCTCGGTCTCTGCGGGGATGCGCCAGCACTCATAGCGCCAGTGCTTGTCGCGGCAGACGCTGCATCTGGACCAAAGCAGTTGCACGCCTCTGCCCCTACGTGGATACGGCCGCGCCAGGCCTGCGCGAGCGTCCACCTTCGACCTAGGTGCTGACAGTGACGATGTATCCCCGTCGTGTCGGATCGCCCTCAATCCGTTCATCACCGGCATCGGCTTCGCGTTTCCGGCGGTGGTCGGCGGCGAGCTGATCGTGTCGATCGTGCTCAACCTGCCGACTACCGGACCGGTGCTGTACGACGCGGTGACGCACCACGACGCATTCCTGGCCGGTGCCATGGTGATGCTGCTCTCCACCCTGCTGGTGGTGGGCAACCTGGTGGCGGACCTGACGCTGGCGTGGGTGGACCCGCGCATCAGGTACGAGTGATGGGCGTGGCCGAGGCGTGCGTGACCACCGGGCATGGCGGCGACCCGCCGATCAAGGGCCGGAGCATCGGCTCCATCATGCGCCTCAAGTACCGCCGCAACCGGCTCGCCATGATCGGCCTCTGGACGCTGATCGTGCTGTACGCGCTCACGACATGCTGTGCGAGTTCTTCGCCCCCTACACCCTGGACGACAACGCCAAGGGATTCGAGAACCACCCGCCCATGCGCATCCGTTTCGTCGACCTCGACGGGCGGTTCCACCTGCATCCGTTCGTCTACGGCGCCACCCGCACCCTGGACATGACCACCTTCAAGACCCACTGGACGCCCAACCCCGACGAGCGGTTCCCGATCCACCTGTTCGTGCAGGGGGCGAGCGACTATCCGGTGCTGGGGTTTCTGCCGGTCCGCTCAGCCTGCGCTTCTTCGGCGTCAAGGAGGGGCGCATCTTCCTGCTCGGCACCGACAAGTGGGGCCGCGACATGCTCTCGCGCATCCTCTACGGCGGCCGCGTGTCGCTGACCATCGGCTGGGCCGGGGTGATGATCAGCCTGGTGCTGGGCATCCTCATCGGCGCGCTGTCGGGCTACTTCGCGGGGGCGGTGGACCTGGTGGTGCAGCGCGTGATCGAGGTGTTGATGTCGGTGCCCTCGCTGCCCCTGTGGATCCTGCTGGCCTCCGCGCTGCCAAGAGTGGACCCCGCTGCAGGTCTACTTCGGCCTCGTCGTGATCCTGTCGTTCATCGGCTGGACCGGCCTGGCACGGGTGGTGCGCGGCATGATCCTCTCGCACCGGGAGACCCAGTACATCCTGGCGGCGCGCAACATCGGCGCCGGCACCGGGCGCATCATGGCGCGCAACCTTGGTGCCCAACATCTCCAGCTACCTGCTGGTGAACCTCACCCTCGCCATCCCCGGCATGATCCTGGCCGAGACCAGCCTGAGCTTCCTGGGCTGGGCATCCGCCCACCCATGACGAGCTGGGGCGTCCTGCTGAGCGAGGCGCAGAACCTCAACAACGTGGTCAACAACACGTGGTACCTGATCCCGGCGCTGTTCGTGGTGGCGGCGATCCTGGCGTTCAACTTCGTCGGGGACGGCCTGCGCGACGCCGCCGACCCCTTCAGCAGCAACTGAGGGCCGAGCTCGGGTCGATCAGTCGTAGCCGGCCCACGGCGCGGCGGCTTCCGCGGCGCTCTGCTCGCGTCCGGTCACGTCGCCGCCGAGCCACCGGTAGGGGCGCGGGCGCAGCGCCAGCGTGCGATCGGCCAGCGGCAGCGCGATCGGTACCGAACCGGCTGCGGCGGAGCGCTTGGCGGCGATCGCACACCTCCAGCGCCTGTCGCAGGTCGTGTCCCGAGATCCACAGCTCACTGCCGGTACCGACCGCGTCCAGGAAGGAACCGATGGAGGTGCCAAGGTAGGAGAACCGCGGGTAGGCGACCGGCGTGAAGGGGCGATCCAGCGGGACGCGGCGGCCGGCCGCGTCGCGCCGGAATAGACCGTGGTGGCGTCCCACTCCCAGCGGATCAGCGCCCGTTCGGTCCACACGTCCACCCGTGTACGCGGCGTCTCGTCGCCGAATACCGGCACCGCCATGCCGTCACTCATCGTGAAGCGCGCGTTGATGATCAGTCCTTCCTCGTCCTCGTCGTCGGCCAGCTTGTGTTCCGGCTTGCCCCACGCCACCACCTCGGCGACCTCCGTGCCATGCAGCAGCCGCAGCACCGACACGTGTGCTGGCAGCCGCCGCCGGAGATCTCGCCGCCGCCCCAGCGGTGGACCGCCGCTCCGGTGACGGGTCCGAACTCGCCGGCGTGGAGCCAGCGCGTCGCTCCTGCACTCGGCGCGAGCGCACGCTGCAAGTTGCCCAGCCCCTGAACACACGCGCGCGCTGCGGCAGGCCTCCACCATGGCGTCGGCGTCGGCCAGGGTGGCGGCGATCGGCTTGTCGGTGGTGACCCCGCGACGCCGGCGGCAACGGCCGCCAGCACCGCGTCCTTGATGTAGCGCACCGGCAGCACCAGGGCCGCGACGTCCGGCACCACGTCGGCGAACAGCGAGCGCGCATCGGCGAACAGGCGGGTCACGCCGAAGCGCTCCCCCACCACCTGACGCCGCTCGGGGTTGGCATCGGCGATGGCCACCAGCGTGGTGTCGGGCCGGGTGGCGTACACGCTGCGTAGTGCTGCCCCAGGCGGCCGCAGCCGATCACCGCGACGGTGAGCGAGTCAGCTCCCATGAATCACCTCCTGCCTGCCCGGCGGCGATCATACCGAATCGGCTACCGTACGCGTCAGACAGGGGGAGTACGATGAAGATCACCGCGGTGCAGACGTACAAGTTCAGCGTGGCCACCGGGCAGCAGGTTCACGACCCGGTGACGGGGGAGCCGATCGCCAGCACGGAGAAGGGGTGGCTGCTGCTGAAGCTGGACACCGATGCCGGCATGAGCGGCTGGGGTGAGGGGACGGCGGAGTGGCTGATCGAGCCGGTGGAAGCGCAGCTCCACGCCTGGCGCGAGCTGCTGATCGGCGCCGACCCCCTGCAGGTGATCGCCCTCACCGAGGATCTCACCGATCGCGCGCCCTGGAAGGGGGGGGCGGTGTACGGTACGGCCGCGGCGGCGGTGAACATGGCGCTGTACGATCTGGCCGGCAAGGCGTGGGGCGTGCCGGTGAGCACCGTGCTCGGCGGGAGGCGCCGCGAGCGGGTGCGGGTCTACTCGAACGGGGGCAGCTTCGCCAACCCCGACGAAGCCGCCGCCACCGCCGTCGCCGCTCAGCAGAAGGGCTTTGCAGGGATCAAGGGCAATCCGCTGGAGACCCGCGCCACGCCGCTGGATCCGGCCGCCGTGGATCACTCGGTGGCATGCGCGACGGCGATGCGGGAGGCGGCCGGCCCCGAGCTGGAAATCCTGCTCGACACCCATGGCAGCCCGGTGCCGGAGCTGGCCGTCGCCTTTGCTCGTGCGGTCGCACCGTTGCGCCCCCTGTTCATCGAGGAACCGGTGAAGGTGGGCTCGGCCAAGGCGCTGGCCGAGGTGAGCGCGCGCAGCCCGGTACCGATCGCGACCGGCGAGAAGCTGTTCACCGTGGCGCAGTTCAGGGAGCTGATCGACTGCCGCGCGTGCGCCATCCTGCAGCCCGACATCACCGAGTGCTTCGGCATCCACCGCATGCTGGAGATCGCGCGGCTGGCGGACGCGCAGCAGATGCTGATGGCGCCCCACAACGTCTGCGGCCCGGTGGGCCACGCGGCGGTGATCCACGCCGACGCGGTGATGAGCAACTTCCTGATCCAGGAGACCACGGCCAGCTTCTTCTCGCAGTTCGATCGCTTCGCCGAACATCCGTTCCGCGTCGAGGACGGGTACATGAACATCCCCGACGAGCCTGGTCTTGGGGTCACCGTCAAGGAAGCCGACATCGCGGACCTCCCCTACCGGCCGACCGCGTTCCGGCAGTACCGCCACGCCGACGGGAGCTGGAAGGGCTGGTAGGGAACGCTTGGCGGGCTCTGGGGGCCCGGCTGTCTCCGGTCAGCTCAGGCCGAGCCGTCCCATCACGTCGCTCTGCAGCGAGCCGCGCAGGTCGAGCTCCTCGGCGAAGTGACAGGCGACCAGCCGGTCCTGGCCGAGCAGGCGCAACTCGGGCACCTCTGCCTCGCAGCGCTGCTGCCGGTAGGGGCAGCGTGGATGGAACGGGCATCCGCTCGGCTTGTTGAGGGGTGACGGCACCTGACCCTCCAGGATGACACGCTCCACCTTGCGCTTGGGGTCGGGCTGCGGAATCGCCGTGAGCAGCGCCTCCGAATAGGGGTGCAGGGGCTTGCGGAACAGCGCGGTGGTGGCGCCGACCTCGACCAGATTGCCGACGTACATCACGCCCATGCGTTCGCTGATGTGGGACAGCACCGACAGGTCGTGGGCGATGAAGAGCATGGTCAATCCCAGCTTGTCGCGCAGGTCCTCGATCAGATTGAGTATCTGGCCCTGAATCGACATGTCGAGGGCGGAAACCGGTTCGTCGGCCAGGATCAGCTTCGGTTGCAGGGCCAGCGCCCGGGCGATGCCGACGCGCTGCTTCTGGCCGCCCGAGAGCTCGTGGGGGAAGCGGTTCAGGTGGCTGGAGTCGAGACCCACCAGACGCAGGAGCTCGTCCACCCGCTCGGCTATTTCGCGACGCCCGCCCAGGCGATGCACGACCAGCGGCTCCCCGACGATGTTCCTGATCGTGAAGCGCGGGTTCAGCGACGAATCGGGATCCTGAAAGACGACCTGCAGCTCGCGGCGCACGGCCTTCGTCTCGCGGGCCGGCAGCGTGGCCAGGTCCAGCCAGCCCTCGGCGTCGTGGTACTCTTTTAGGAGATCGGTCTTGAGCAGCACCTGGCCGCCATCGGGGTCCACCAGGCGGGCGATGCTGCGCACCACGGTGGTCTTGCCACAGCCGCTCTCACCGGCCAGCGCGAAGGTCTCCTCCTGGCCCACCTCGAAGCTGACACCGTCCACCGCCCGCACGTCGGCCACCTTGCGCTTCAGCAGGCCGGCGGTCACCGGGTAGTACTTGAACAGGTGCTCCACCCGCAGCAACGGTGCGGCCGCGGGCGCGGTGCCCTGGCTCATCGGGGCGCTCCGGCGGTCTCGTGCAGCCCACCTGCCTTGTGCAGCCAGCACTTGGTGAGGTGGCCGGGAGCGGGACCGAAGTGCGGGGGATCCTGGTCGCAGATCTCGCCGATGTAGCGGTGGCAGCGGTAGCGGAACCGGCAGCCTGAGAGCTGGGCAAAGGGGTTGGGTACGCTGCCGCGGATCGGCGCCAGGCGATGATGCTGGGCAGCGACGATGGGAATCGACTTGAGCAGACCCTCGGTGTAGGGATGGGTGTGGCCGTAGAAGACCTGCTCGGCGCTGCCGGCCTCCACGATCTGCCCCATGTACATGGTCAGCACCGTGTCGGCCATCTCCGCGATCAACCCCAGGTCGTGCGTGATGAACAGCACCGCCATGCCGAACTCCGCCTGCAGGTCCTGGATCAGCTTCATGATCTGCGCCTGGATCGTCACGTCCAGGCCGGTGGTGGGCTCGTCGGCGATGAGCAGCCTCGGCCGGCATGCCAGCGCCATGGCGATCATCGCCCGCTGGTTCATGCCGCCGCTCAACTCGAACGGGTACTGCTTGACCCGCCGCTCGGGGTCGCTGATGCCCACCCGGTCCAGCAGGTCGACGGTCTGCGCGCGCGCCTCTTTGCGGGTCATCCCCCGGTGCACCCGCAGCACCTCGCCGACCTGGTTGCCGACGGCATGCACCGGACTGAGGGCGGTCATCGGTTCCTGGAAGATCATGCTGATCCGGTTTCCGCGGATGTCGCGGTACTGGTCGCCCTTGGGATCCAGGCTCACCAGATCGACGGGCTGCCCCTGTTCGTAGTAGTTGATCGTGCCGGTGATGCGGGCCGGCGGCATCGGCAGGATGCCCATGATGGCCCGTGCGGTCACGCTCTTGCCGCACCCCGACTCGCCCATCACACCCAGGGTCTGGTGGCTGCGCACCTCGAAACTGACGCCGTCCACGGCGCGCAGCAGGCCTTCGGTGAGCCGGAACTCCACGCGCAGGTCGCGTACCTCGATCAGCAGGTCATCGCTTGCCGCGTTACCGGAGCCGGCGGCCAGCATGATGAGCGAATGCTACCTTACGCCACGTCGCCGCGCCAAGCGGCTTCTTCGTCCTGCTCCACGTAGAACACGCCCTCGATGTCCCGCTCCCCGACCGCCGGCGGCGGCTGGTTGTGGTGCACCACCAGGATGCGCTCGTCGTCGGCGTAGGCGAAGCTGGGGTATCCCTGCCCCATCGCGTGGAACTGCATCAGGAACGACAGGTACATGGGGCCGCCCCAGATGTGGGTTTCGCCGCTCCAGTCCAGCCCATCCTCCTTGACGTAGCAGAACGCCACGCTGCCGATATGGAGGTGGTCCATCTCGGCCACGTGCCGGTAGCCGCAGATCACGGTGCCGGTCCTGGTGAGAAACAGCGCCGGGGAGTGGCCGTAGCGCGGGTCGGACCAGCCCACCATCTCGTGGCTGCTCCAGGTGGCGCCGTTGTCGTCACTCCAGTTGCAGAACAGCGGCCCGACCCCGTGACCGTGGGTGTTGGAGGGATCGCGGTTCACGCACAGAATGCGGCCGCCCGGGAGCTGCAGGAAGTCGGCTTCGTCGCCGGAGTAGCGGTCGCAGGCGGCCGTGACGTAGCGCTCCCAGGTTTCGCCGCCGTCGCTGGAGGTCAGGAACCCGTGGCGGCCGAAGCGGTCGCCCTCGCGGCGGCCGATGATCGGCAGGATCACGGTGCCGTCGTGGAGGGTGCGGATCTTGCCGTAGGAGACCGCCGCCGCCCAGCCGGCAGCCGGGCCCGGGCCGGGTATGACCACGATCGGCTCCGACCAGGTGTGCCCCTGATCCACCGACTTGCGCACGCACACGGTGCGGTTGTAGACGCCGCTGTAGCTGGTTCCGTACACGTTGTAGGGCAGCAGGATGGTGCCGTCGGCGAGCTGCGCCATGCCGTGATGGCCGTAGAACTGTTCGTCCGTCCGCTCCGCCGAGGCGCCGTAGGCGAAGGTGTGCTCCTTGCGCCACGTCCGGCCGCAGTCGGTGGAGCGCGTCACGCTCACGCACGTCTTGCTGTGGGTGTCGTCCCGATAGGCCACCAGCAGGTCGCCGTTGCGGAGGCGCTCCAGGGAGGGGCAACTCCCCCCTTCCGCGACGATGACGCGCCCGTCCCGTTCCAGTCTTCCCATCACTCCTCCTCCGCCCGAGGCGGGTCACTCTGCTCGCATGGACCGCGCGATGACAAGCCCCCGGCGCCGGCGACGTTGACAGCGCCGGTCACAAATGGTGGACTGGCAACATTCTTTCGCCGAGGAGATCGGTCATGAAACTACTGAATCGAAAGCGCTTCCGCGCGTCGCATGGCTTGGCACTGCTGGCATGTCTCTTCCTCTGTGGCACGGTCATGACAGCGGCAGGCGCCGACATCGTCCCGGTGATCACGCCGGACGGCCCGATGGCGAGCTACAGCGAGTCGCCGGTGCTGGCGGCCAAGGTCGCCGCCGGGGAGCTTCCCCCGGTCCAGGAGCGGCTGCCCGACTTGCCCCCCGTGGAGCAGGCGTTCGAAGCGGTCGGCAAGTACGGCGGCACGCTGCGCCACGTCGAGGCGCTGTACACCAGCTTCGGCAGCATCACCCGCTACATGAACGAGGGGCTGATCGACGTCAGCGTGCCTTCAGGCACCCACCGCTACCCGAACCTCGCCGAGAGTATCGAGTGGAGCGACGATCTGACGACCTACACCATCCATCTCCGGAAGGGCGTGAAGTGGTCGGACGGCGAGGAATTCACCGCCGCGGACGTGATGTTCAAGTGGGAGGACATCAGGCTCTACTCCCCCGACCCCGACGCGACCCCGCTGTCGGTGGCGCCCTCCGACTTCATCATCGGCGGGGAGTTGGCCGAGTTCACGATGCTCGACGACTACACGATCGTCGTCAAGTTCGCCGCGCCGTTCGCCAACTACCACAAGAACATCGGCTGGAACTATCTCGATCCGGAGCCCGCCCACTACCTGAAACAGTTCCATCCCAAGTACAACGAGGAGCTGGGCGACCCCACCGAGGCGTGGCAGGACTTCAACACCGTGCACCGCGCCGGCACCAACACCGAGCGCCCCACCCTCGGGCCCTGGATTCCCGAGACGGTGAAGGAGGGCGAGTTGATGGTGATGGTGCGCAATCCCTACTACTGGAAGGTGGACGAGAAAGGTCAGCAGCTTCCCTACGCCGACGAGTTGCGCGTGACCTACGTCAAGGACAAGGAGGTGGAGAAGCTGCAGCTCGCCGCCGGCGAGTACGACTGGCACGCCATGGGGCCGCCGGTGGACGCGGTGCTGTTCCAGCAGCAGGCCAACGGCAACTACCGGCTGGTCACGCCGCCCGGGTTGCACAACTACTGGGTGTTCATCAAGCGCAAGCTGGCGTGGATCACCAACGCGCTGGAGAATCCGCAGAACGAGAACGATGACAAGCTCGCCGCGTTGCTGCTGGACAACGACTTCCTGCAGGCGCTGCAGCTCGGCATCGACAACGAGCAGATGATGCGCGCCTACGCCACGCCGGAGCTGTACGAGTTCCGCGCCAAGCTGGTGGGCCGGCCGCGTCTCGACCCGGACAAGCCGATCGGCCAGAGCGCCGACCCGCGCGTGCAGGCGATGTGGGACCACCTGGAGCAGTGGACGCGCTACGACCTTGGCCGAGGCGAACCAGATGCTGGACGATCTGGGACTGGCGGTCGGTGACGACGGCTTCCGTCGAATATGCCGACGGCGGTCGCATCGAACTGAACATCGGGCATCTTCTCCGACTCCGGATCCGCGCGGCGAGGTGAGTCACCGTCCAGTGCCAGAACTGGGAGCGGGACCTCAAGATCAAGACCTTCTGCCTGCAGAAGACCTGGAGCGAGGGCGTGCGCCCGTGTTCGTCGGCAGCGAGATGCCGCATGGCGAGTCGGGCTCCGGCCACTGGTTCTGGGGCACCGACGCCCTGTATCTGCACGCCCTCTACCAGTACGAGATACGCGACTGGCTCGAGACGGTGGGCAAGGATGGCGTGGCACCGCCCGAGCCCTACCGCGAGGGGCTGCTGGAGCTGAAGCGGCTGGCCGACGCGTCGGCCAGTCGATCGATCCCGAGGAGCGGATGGAGCTGGCGATCCAGGCACCGAGCTGGTGGTGCTGAACAACCTGGACGGCACCGAGCTGACCTTCGGCGGCGCCTCCAGCTTCCACTACGTCCACAACCGGATCCGCAACAATCCGGTCGGCTACAACGCCTGGGGCATTCGCCGCTGGCTGCGCATGGAGCAGTGGTGGATCGACGAGTAGCGGGATAGCGTTCCCGGCACCTGTTGAGCCCCCGGTCATCGTGCCGGGGGCTCACTCATTGGTGCACCCACGTGGACCAGACGTTCCGGAGGTGCGGCCGTACACTGTGCTCGTGCGTGGTCTCACCGACGCGGATCGACTCGGCAGGCTCATGGAAGGGATCGGCCGCGGATGCCGGAGCAGCGGCCGAATCTACTTGGTCGGAGGCTCCTGCGCGGTACTCGTCGGCTGGCGTGCCACGACGGTGGACGTCGACCTGAAACTCGATCCTGAGCCCGCCGGCGCATTCGAGGCGATCGCCGGACTCAAGGATACGCTGGGCGTCAATGTCGAATTGGCCGCTCCCGATCAGTTCATCCCGCCGCTGCCCGGATGGCGGGAACGCAGCCCGTTCGTCGTGCGTCATGGCGGGGGACTGATCGAGCCGGCGACGCTACGGCGGCTGTTCAATGCGATCGAGGCAGCCCTTGTCCGCTATCCCTCCCTCGATCCCGGCTCGTTTCGGGGAAAGGTCGAACGCGCCATCGCGGAGCTGGACGGATGAACGACAACCAGCGTCTGCCTGGAGCCGACGTGATCGCCGAGGGCGTCCGAGCGCACCAGCGAGGCGAAACGACGACCGAATCGCTGCTGGTGGCGATCGGTGCGCCGCGGCTGCGGAGCCTCGGTCACGATCTGCCCGAGCGATCCGGGCTGTGCGAACGACCCGAGATCGAGCTCTATCTCCTGCTCAGCGAGCGCTATGGCCGTGACGCGCACCAGCGCTACAACGCCCTCATTCGCAGGCTCGTGAGCTACGAACAGGCCGCCGAGCGAATTCAGTCAGCACGGAAGCGCGCAGGCTGAGGCGCTCGCCGGCTTACCGGGATGGCTTACCGGGATGGCAGGCCCAGCCCGCCCAAATCGGCGACCACGCCCCGCTGCTCGGCTTCGTAGAGCTTCCAGATGACTCGGAGGCTTTGCAGACTGGCCTCGCCGTCGGTTAGCGGCGTCTGCCCGCGTTCGATGCAGTCGATGAAGTGGGCCATTTCGTTCTCGGTATGCTTGCCGGCGCCGGCGTCGCTCTCCATGAGGAGCTTCCGTTCCCCGCCGGCGTGGGCCAGGAGGCGCTGGCCGCTGACGTCGGCTTCGATCATTCCCTCGCTGCAGTGGGCGTGGATGGAATAACGCAGGCGCGTGCCGCGCGCGCCCCAGGTACCGAAGTGGTAGCCCAGCCGGTCGCCTGCGAACTCATGGTCACGTTGGAGGTGCCCTCGCGTTCCATCCACGGCGTGCCCGTATTGGTGCCCAGGTGGGTGCCGCTGACGGGCTCTCCGAGATACCAGAGCAGGATGTCGATGTAATGGCAGCCGTGGCTGAAGAGCTGGCCACCGCCCAGCGTCGCGGCCCGGTGCCCCCAGTGCCCCGGTGGGTAGCGGGTCATCTGCTCGGTCCAGATGCTCACCTGGAACACCTCGCCGAAGCTCTGCTTGTCGAGCTCGTCCTTCATGGCCGCGACCACGGGGTGGAAGCGCATGCAATAGGCGATCATCAGGACGCGGTCGACGCGCGCCGCGGTGGCGATGAGATCCAGGCACTCGGCTTCGCTGTTCGCCATCGGCTTCTCCAGCAGGACGTGCTTGCCTGCCTCCAGGCACTCCCTGGCGACGGGATGGTGCAGGTGGTGCGGCAGCACGACGAGCACGGCGTCCACCAGGTCGAGGACGGAGCGATGGTCGGTGGCAACCCGTACGTCCGGGAGATGCTCCCGGACCTGCCGGGCCTTGGTCTCGTCGACGTCGACGGCCGCCACGAGCTGCAGCCGGTCGCTCAGCAGGTGAAACCGCCGCACGTGAGCGGCGGACATGCCGCCGCAGCCGATCAGTGCCAGTTTGACGCGGGCCATGAGTGAGGACCTCCGGGCGATGGATTTCCGAGATTACGTTGCGACGTCATGGTGGTCAAGAAGTTGGCGGTGCCGATACACTCCACGGAAGTCATGAAGAAGAAGGGGACTTCACCTCGCCAGATTACGTTGTGTGCGTATGCCCGATTCGACGCGGACAAGCTGCACGTCACGGTCGTTCCGGTCGGCGATGCGTTCATAGCGAGAGGGTCGGCCGTCGAGCTCTGGGTCTGGCACCGTTCGCGGCGTCAGTCGTTCGTGCGGACCAGAATCGACGACTTCGGCCAGCCGTCGGGCCGTACGGTCGTGCTCGACCTGGGACAGGTGCCGGGCGGCACGTGTGAACTGCAGGCGGTCCTCGTCGATCGGTGGGGTCGCGAGTGCATCACGCACCTCATCCAGAGCGCCGATCCGCCGCACAAGCCCGAGTGGTGGGGCTCGCGCGCCGGGCTCGATCCGCGAGTCCCCGCAGCCTGGACTCCGCTTCAGGGTGCGTCGCATGCCGACGGAACGTATGCGGTTTCCTGTTGGGGGAGGACTACCGGTTCGCTCCCGGCTGTCTGCTCGAATCGGTGACCGCGGCGGGCAGTCGGATACTGCATGCGCCGTTCGACTGACGGCGGTCGCCGGCGGCCGGAGCCTGCGCTTCGCCGCGGAAACGATCGATGAGGTGGCGTCGGACCTCGATGAGGTCGTGCTCGAACAGCGCCTGACTGCAGCGAACCTGGACGTGCGGTGCAGGCGCACGTCGAATTCGACGGGATGATCCGGTTCGACGTCGAAGTCTCCGCGGCCGACGCCGTCGACCTGGACTCCCTGTCGATCGAGATTCCCGTCCGCGCGGAGCACGCGGAGTACCTGTATCACTTTCCGGGGGCATGGGGGACGGCCAGGAACGCCGGCGCGCTCCCGGACACCGCGGTGAAGATGGGGATTCCGGCCGTACGTCTGGCTGGGAGACGACGATCGCGGACTGGCCTGGTTCAGCGAGTCCGACCGCGACTGGCATGTCGCGCCGGGCGCGCCGGCGACGGAGATCGTCCGCGATGGGGATCGCGTGGTGCTCACGATGCACCTGATCTCCTCGCCGATGCGGTTGGCGCCGGAGTCGCGGCGTCCGGAGGCGTGGGACACCGCTCCGGAATTGGAAAACGCCGTGATCAGGGACGCGGCGATCACGGGCGAGCGCGGGGAACGCTACCAGCCCCTGCGGTACACGTTCGGCCTGCAGGCCACGCCGGTCAAGGCGAACGAACAGGGGGCCTGGGACTACCGGTGCATCCACGTCGGACCGGCTCCGCCCGCGTTCACGGAGCCGCTGACCCTGTCGCCGCGGTTTCTGGATCGCTGCGTTCAGGCGGGTGTGAGAACCGTGGTGCTGCACCAGTTCTGGACCGACATCGAAGCGCACACGATTCCGGTAGACCGCGAGCGGCTGCACGAGTGGGTCGAGGCGTGCCACGAACGGGGTCTCAAGATCCTGTTGTACTACGGGTTCCTGATCTCCAGCGCGGCGCCCGAGTGGCGTGACTTCGGGGCGGGCTGTCTCACCACGCCCGCGTACGGCTACCCGCTGTTCCGTGACGCACCGCAGCCCGATCAGTCGGCGTGGGTGGTCTGCCTCAACAGCGCATGGCAGGACTTCGTCGCGGACGCCATCGCCAGGACCATGGACGAGTTTGGGATCGACGGCGTGTACCTGGACGGCACCGAATTCCCGGCCGGGTGCATCAACACCTTGCATGGGTGCGGCAGCACGCGGCCCGACGGATCGATCGCCAAGTCGTATCCCATCTTCGGCGTCCGCAGCGCCATGCGCCGCATCCACAACGCGGTCACCTCACGGAACCCCGAGGCGCATATCAACGTGCACAACTCGACCTGCATGGTCATGCCGACGCTCGGGTTCGCCACCTCGTATTGGGACGGGGAGCAGTTCCAGGACGTCCGTGGAACTGAGAACGCGGCGACCCAGCTTCCGCTCGACGCGTTTCGCACGGAGTTCATGGGCCGCCAGTGGGGTGTGCCGGCCGAGTTCCTCTGTTACGGCCAGGGCTTCACCTTCGAGCAGGCATGGGCCATCACGTTGATCCATGATGTCCCGGTCAGGCCGTTGAACCGGAACGGACTGGAGGAGCTCGATCTGGCCTCACGCATCTGGCGGCTCATGGATGACTTCGGCCGCAGCCAGGCCGAGTGGCTGCCGTATTGGAAAAACGCGGAGTACATCCGCGCCGATTCCCCCGGCATCTACGTGAGCCTCTACCGGCATCCTGCCAACGGCGTGCTCGCTGTCGTTTCGAACTTGAATCGCGAACGCGCGTCGTTTGCACTCACCGTGGACTGGGAGCTTCTCGGTATCGACGCGGACCGGGGTTCGATCATCGACGCGCTCGACAGATCTCCCGCTTTCCTGAACGGTGTTCTCGATCCCTACGGTTGGCGGTTGCTCTGGTGCAGGCCTCCAGCGGCTAGCCCTTGACGGCGCCGACGATCACCCCGTGTATGAAATACCGTTGGAGAAACGGGTA